ATTAATTTAAAAAAAAAATCCATTCTTTTTATTTCTATAAAGAAAAAGTAGAGAACTGAATTAAATAATAATGTTTGTTAATAGATCTGGAAGTTTGCTAAAAATTCACATGAAAATATTTGAAACCTGTTAGTCGAACATCGTTCAAGTTGTCAGGTTTATCGTAAAGAGAAAAGTAATTTGAGAAAAATGAGTTTAAGGTTTTTGTCAAGTCGTTCAGTTATTTGGATCTTATTATTTTATAATGTTTTAAAAATGCCAATCTATAAGAACATATCAAATGGAATCGATTTTTACCAATTTTAAACGGTCATGTCGCCTTAAGAATCTTTTTTCTGTAATCTGTTAAAAGAATTAAATTTTTCAACACATTTTACGGAGAGCAACATTTTGAACATAGAATCTCAAAGAAATTTAAATGAATTCCAAGAAATAGTTACATTAGAATCCATGTGAATATTATTCATTATTGATATGTCATTAAGTTTAGTATATTCGTAGATGAATGAAGAACAACTTCCACTATGTTTAGAAGTGAAAGGGAATTAATTACATATAATACTATTAAAATGAATACGTAAAATATATGTCTTATTCAGATGAAGCTAATTAAAATATTTCACTGAAAACGAAGACTTGTAGACAGAGAAATAGCTATTTATTTTTGTTTGTGACTTTTTACAACTTACGAATTTGTAATTTCCTGTCACTGAGTCGTGTACTGGTGGAAGACCCATAATGGGGAAAGTTTATGAAACGATTAGGCCCAAAGGGGTTATAAGTTGAGCGGACCTACAGATTTCTCCTCCATATATAAAGGTTTATAAGGCGAGAAGTGCTATTAAGGACGGGAGTTAAGGTACTTGAAATGCACGCGTTCAACGGAATCGTGAAAAGTTGCAACGATAAAACAACTTTTACAGCCTTAAATCTCTGCTTAATTTATGAACAGCTGTGAACACTACCATTTACATTAAAAAGTTCGGTGTTTAGAATATTCTAACAATTTTAGCACAATAAATTGCTTGAAATAAAATAAAGATATCTAATACTTTGCATTCAACTTCTTTTTAACACATTCTCTCAAGTAAGAAATTATTTGAAAATGTCATCATTAAGCACGGATTAAGAAGTAATATTTATGTTCAACTATAATTACGTATATTAACAACGTTAACCATTAACAATTTCGTTCGTGTAATTGTTTCCGTTCTCTAATATAATTTCTACGAACTTGAGAGTCATATAGGACTATTTATACGCTCTTGTAAATTAATAAAATATTCTAATAACATAATGTTTTACTTTTAAAACGTATGTCAACAAGTAATCAACAGTATCTGATATAATTGAATTATTAGTTATTGTAAATTGAATTATTAGTTATTGTATATTCAATTACTTTTTGATTAAATAGAAATGATTTATACAGTAACAAGGAGTTATAATTACATAATTGTGTCTCTCTTTATATTAGTTTAAGTCTATGCTACGTTGATTAAATAAACTTAAGCGAATTGTAATTTAAATAAAAAATAATTTAACAAGTGAAACATTAGTTATTACATTAATTTCTGTTTGCATCACTATTCGTTTTTATTTGCATTCGAAATTTAATTGTACGTAAAAGTGAATGTATACTTATTATTAACATCGTATTTTCATTCGTACCGGTGAAAATAAATTATAGAAGCCCTTGAGTGTTAATCATTGACATTGTAACAATTTCGTTGCAAGAGTATGGCATTATGTTCCTGTTGTTTATGCATTTATTGGAGTTGCCCGTTCCCATCAGCTTTAGCATATTTTTCTCGTAAATGTGTTGAAGGAAATGTAGGTAGTGGATGATGCATATCGTTTATATGAATTTTCATGACGTACGCTCGGGAATCCAAGTCTCCAGTGTCGGCGGATAAGTCATTCCATTACTGGTTAACCGCCAGAGGACTGCATAAATAAGTGGTGTGTTTAACAAATATACATCATGCAACGTAATCCGTGTATGATTAAGAGGACAATCAACCGTATTGTCAATAAAGTGTGCATAAAGTAATACATGTATAAAAGCTATGAATACGTATGTAAATAAGTGATAAATTGGATTTTCCCTGGTGAAAATGATCACAATAATAATAGTATAATATTAAGATAATATTATATTAAAAATAATATTAAAAAAGTATTAAACTCTGTAATATTTTTTTCTTTCATTTAATTATATGAAGTATACGATAATTATCATTTTATTATTTCACGATACTTGCATACTTTATGTGTGCTCCAATTTATGAATTTTGCGGTAGCTTCTTTACCTCAATCTCCATTTAACCGAAGGTGTAGAATTGCGCTGTAATAGTCAAGACCAAACATTTCTTTCTATTTTGTACTTCATCAAAATCAGTGATTGGGATTTCGGAAAGTTACCCTGTTAACACTAGAATTACCGAGCATTTCACACGATTAATACGTACTTCTTTTCAAAATCGTAAGAGTACGTTCGATTCAATTTCTGCTGATATTCATTACATTGGGTAAATGACACTATTAATTTTCAAAATAATTTCAAATATTTACCATATTTTTAATATCAATAATTGCAAAATAAGAAAATTAATACCATTCAGTTCAATTGGTATCAATAGTTCTAATGTTAACACTAAAACTACCGAGCAATTGGATTGACTTCTTTCTAAATTTCTATAAAAATTAGAACAATATATTTCTTGAAATTTGATGGGTCCCTATTGTCGTGTCTGTGCAAATACACAAATCTATTTTACAATTTTTCACAAAAGCCTTGCCATAATTTAAATATTTGCAAACTAAACATTCTAAAATGAGTCAATTTGACCCGTCTGGTAGTTTTAGTGTTACTTGTTACCAGTACGTAATGTGTTAATATAGAATAAACGCGGCAGCCTTTGAAACACGTATAAGATGGGCGGGTGGACACGTACGAATGAAGAAGCATGTCAGAATCATGTAACATACATGCACGGTGAAATCGGCGAGCAGCCACGAGTCTCAATGCAACGGAAGCTCGTGAGACTCTCACGTTTCGAGAAAATGTGGTTTGATAGGATGCAGCTTGAGACTGCGATACAGCATGCAGTAAATTCGCATGAACTCTGAAAAGCGCGTGTTCGAACTAGCCTTTATACCACTTGATTTGCGAACTCGAATTTATCTACTGGGATCTAAACGATCGCATTTAGCCCGTGTATTCGAACGCTATGTGCTCTCGCATGTGGCATTAGAGCAGATTAATACATGCTGATCTTTTAAGTGGAAATAATCCAACTGCATAAAACAGTAAATAAGTACTATCGACAATCAACTTGTTAACGATTTGAACGTGTTATGTATTTTTTATTGTTATTTATATATTTGAGCAGCTTAATTAATGTAATATATTCAGCTGTTAAATTCAGTTAGATTTGAGTGTATTCCTTTTGTACCTAATTTAGTGACGTTTAAAATAGTGAAGAGGAAAAACAAAATTTAACGAAGTGTTTCATTTGTTAAAGAAAATTAAATTATGTTTATTGAACTTTCATGTGTATGCTAATGGTACTATCATGTATAAATAGATTTTAGGCAATCCAGTTATTGACTCAGACCTTAATTTTAGAAAGAATGAGGGAAATACTTAGAATGAGACGTATGTATGTATATATATATATATACATTTTGTTGAATTAATATTATAATCAGAGTTATATAAATAACAACTGGTTTTTAAATATTTCTTGCTGATGGGTAAAGTATACTGGATTAATTAAGGAAAAAATGTTGTATTTTAATAACTACAGAATTTTTAAATAATAGAACATTATATATAACATGAGAAGAAAATATTATTTTTCTGAGCTTTTTATAAGATAAAAGAATTTTAAAATTCTGAAATATATACATATATAAACTGTTCACTGTTACATAACATTTTTCATACATTTGCCGTATTGCGGTCACACTATATGAAAATATTTGTTACGAAATTCTTGTATGAATATTAATTTTAAATGATCTATAACTATAAATATGTAACAGAAAATAACTTGAGAATTGTACTATATTTCATGCCAAAGTAAAATTTCACATAACGATACCTGGAACGAATACTTTTACGCTTGATACAAATTTTATTCTTCTAATTTGATTTAAGAAAAGAATTTTTTTATTCGATTAAACTAATGAACTGAATTGTCATTATTTAGGATTTTATCATTGATTCATAACACGAATCTATACGAGACAAATATTTTTTAAGTAAATTAA